TTGCCATCGTGATCAGGGTAGTCGGGTAGTCAGTATGACGCTGTGCAAACATCTGCATGTCCGTGTGCTTCTTCCACAGCTCTCTGACGTCCAAGTGTCATGGCTGAGCAGGTGGCATATCACAGAAATGACCGCCACAGCATTTGAAACACAAACCTCCTACAGCGCACGACAGCACAGCACAAGCTGTAACGCCGCCACTGGAGACAGCAAGAACTCAGGGCCCGACTAGAGTCTACGGCACGAGAGTCTTGCACCCCACCCCCGGAAAGCATGGCTTACGCATGCTCCGTGCACCCGCTCAGTGCTCGCACTCGTTAATCGTCTTGGACGATCCTAGCAAGCTTGTCCACAAGATCCTGCAGCTCCCTGTCATTCCCGCTGCGTGGTGGCTGGCCGCGTTTGATCTTCCCTCCGGCGCGACTCATGGCACGTAGCAAGGCATCAAGTACGGGGCTCAGCTCAGCACATACTGCGAGGTGGACTTTGTTCACGCGTTTGTCATAGCACCGCTTGACCTTGGCGATGAACACCTTGTCCGTAAGATCGGCTACAGACCTCACTCCATTGAAATGTGCAGTCAGAACGTCTCGATCTTGCTGCGACATGGCCGTGTCCTCCACTGCCACCTTGATCAGAGCTGCCCAGCTGTGGTACTGCGGCTCGCCCAGTTCGTCGATCGCTTTGTTATTGCGTGTCTCTCTGGCGTTCTTGGCCTTCTCAACAAACGAGCGTGTTGCTTCCTGTGCCTCACTGATGAACGAGGACTCCGTGCCCATCACGATGGTCTTGAATGTGGCCGACTGGAGCTCATTGATCTCGAGGCTGTGTCGTAGCGACAACTTGGACAACAGTAACAAGAGTTTCCCCACCAGGTGCATGTCGAGCTCCTGTGGTGTTGCTGCTTCGCTGCGTTGATGCTTGGCAGGTCGAGCGTCACCAGATGCGAGCCACTGATTCATGTTGACGGGGCACTTGGACGGAACTAAGGCCACACCCACAACGAAACCAGACCCCCTACGGGTTTGGTCCGACAACATGTGCGGTAATGCATGTGAGCAACTCATCCATACTGTCATGCTCATGTTGGCAAAAAGGACAACATAAACTCTCAGGCACCACTGCAAAAACAGTGTTAGAACCTTTGCCGGTGCATCGCCGCTTGCGCAGCGCTCGATGAATATGTTGTTGCGCAACCCGCTTTGTCGCAAAGATATGCCTACACCAATGGCACACATTTGCCACTGTGGCCTGCCTAGCAAGCGATGGCTGGCCGTGCGTACCTGTCTTTGTACTTGTCTTGTGTACAACAAGACGCTGCCACGATGCAAATGATGCTTCGCATGGAGTACCGTCATCAAGCAAACAGTCACACTTGTGCGGTCTGTCGACTTCAACCGGGTCTGGAGGTGCGAGTATGGGGGCTTGAACAAACTCAGGTGGTGGGATTGCCACGGATAAGAACTGCCTTCGTGTGCAGGGGCATGCATCCGTTCATTCAGTTCATACCGCCTAGCCTGCCCAGAAAGCGATGCATCGCGCTTGAATTCATCCGCCTTCATCACGAGCCGTTGCTCTCTGCTGATGCAGTGGTTTCTTGATAAGCGCTTTTTTCAACGAATCTCACGATTCCACACCTACTTGCAGCAAGAATTTTTCTGTACAGTTTCATTAGAATCCGCCCCTGAACTTGTTCTAAGATCTCGAGCCCTTTCATTGCAATGCTTCGTAGTTGGCCGTTGTCGTGGTCGTGGTCGTCATCGGTTCAGGGTCAAGGTAATGGTGGTGATAGTGGGGTAAATGGTTGTTGCTTGATGCTTGTAAGTTGTTGCTTGTTGGTTGTTGGTTGTTGTTGGTTGTTGGTTGTTGGTTGTTGGTTGTTGGTTGTTGGTTGTTGGTTGTTGGTTGTTGGTGGTTGCTGGTTGGTGGTTGGTGGGTTGCTGGTTGCTGCTGCTGCTGTTGCTGTTGGTGTTGCTGTTGGTGTTGGTGTTGATGAATGTTGATGTTATTGTCATTGTTGTTGTTGTTGTGGTTGTGGGTGTTGTTGTTGTTGATGATGATGATTTTCCGTGATGTCGAGGCCCGGGCGCACAAAGTCTGCTCGAGAATATTGGCCACATGGATTGAGCCCATGTCCATAGACGACCATCAGCAGCACTATCAGCAGCATCACCATTAGCATCCGAGTCGGGGTCGTGGTCGTCTCTCGTCTTACTCCTCCGCGACCACCTTCTCCTCCTCTTCAGCAACATCACATCATCAGACTTTTCCTCTTTCCTCGGCGATTTCAGCGTTGTTCCGAAAACGTTCAACGTGAAGTCTTGGCGAAGCTGCATTGGAAGCTGTGTGGTTGAAATGTCGTTCCAAATGGCATTAAAAAGGAAGCTCGCTTAGTGCATCTTCGCCTAACTGTGGGCTGGACTCAAAGCGCGGATTTGTTGCTCTAGAACCCCAGCCCGCATAGGCCCACAATCCAGTCCCTGTGAAGCGCGGACTGCCTCAAATCAATGTGCGACTCCTGCCATCCTGTGCACGGGCATGCGAGCTGAAAGCCAAGTGACACACGAAGGCGCCACAACAGTCGGCCGCCAGAGAGCCGCCACAAGCAGCTGTATCGTGCGATACATTGAACTGCCGGCAGGGAATATCTTATATATGTTGCTTGAAGAGGAAGGCTGACCCAGCTCCCCAGCAGGCCCTCACAAGTCTTGCTTTGCCTCCTTCCGGCCCCCAGGGCCTTGTGGTTATTCCGTGTGCTTCGGCTTGCCACATGTGATCGATGTGATCAGCTGAAAGCACCGATCAGGCCGTGATTCCCCCGCCCTCGCCTCCGAGGCCAGCGCCAGCTCGAAACCTGGATCCCAGTGCTTGAGTCGTCTTCCAACGCGACACCAGGGCCCTAGACCTAAAATCCCTAAGACCCAGAATCTTTGTAGCTGTGTATCCTGCGGACCCAAATCCCAAATCCAGGGAGGGTAGGTCCGTCAGCTGTCATAAACAAGATAAAACCCCTAAGATCTAAACCGTAGACAGGAGCTTAAAACCTGCACCAACATCCCAAAACCTTGAGCATCAAACCCCGAACCAGTGGAGAGCTGTTGGGTTCGTTGAGCCTGAGGAATGGCCCCGGCTCCGGCTGGAGCAGGCCCGCCGTGGTCCTCGCTTGCGGTTTGGGCTTACAGTATTTTTCGAGATTTGCGGGCTCTTGTTTCTGGATTTTTGAGCTTCGGGTCCATTGCTTCTCACGCTTACCACCCATACTTTGTTTGTCGCAGATGTCTCGGGCTCGGGAATATCAGGAAAGGTATGCTGCATCTGGAATAAAGGCTCACTGTAAGGAAAATGTCGCCAGGGTTGGGCCCGACGCGAGAGACGCTTGAGGCTTTACACCTCTCTCGCACCGGATGGATTGCAGACAAGATTCCACACACAGTGTGACATGCATCCTCGCGTCATAGGTACCATCATTGCAGGAAGTCCGGCACCACTTCAGCTAAGTAGCCTGAGCCTGCCTGTTTCGGATTATGTGAGGTTTTCTGGGACGGCCCAGGCCCAATGACGAAAATCTTAGCAAAGGGTTTGACGGGCACGACTAGTATGGCCGTAAAGTTCCCACATAGCTCTGCGATCACATACACCAAACCTTTTTCATCCTTTTTCGAAATGCTGTGGGCGTGAAAATCTGATCTGATCCTTCAGCGTCCAGAATTGAAAACGCAAAACCTCAACCCAACCTTGAAACCCTGCACCCTAAGCCTTGAAGGCCTGCCCAGAGCCAAAGAGCGAGCATGACTGGAAGACACTCCGACGGGAAGCAATGGTTTTTGATTTGCCTTTCTGAGATGACATGCATGAACTCTCAGAAAATTTAATTCGTTCTTGATGCGCCAGCTTTGGCGTGCAGGCTCACTTCCGCTCCCGGTGCTACTGCTGCAGCCGACTAGCATGATCATGGCTGTGGCTGTAGTTGTAATGATAATTATCATAATCTGTGTTGGCACGATCGCTTTGTCATTGCTACCGCGGATGACGCGACAGTGATCGTTGTCATCTCGTCATCATCGTCACTGTCACTGTCGTTATCGTGGTCTTTCTTCTGGTCTGCTTGTCATGTTCGTTAGACGAGGGCGGTCACGACAAGTCCAGGATTTTTCGAACTTTTGATGCCAGGTGCTGCCTCCTTCTGGGACATGGTCCGGCACATGTGGGAGCGCACATGGTCAGAAAAGTCCGTGAAGAGCCTGGTGCGAGCTGGGTGTGAAGATTGTCAGACTTCGTCAGGACCGTTTGGAGTCAAGTCAAAGAGTTGATGCGGATTGCGGGTCCAATTTGCCATGATAATTCCAGATTGTCGATTGGAGGCTGAAATACCATCCCTGAAATCCAAACTGTTGTGAAATATAGTGTCACATATGGCCTTTAGCTTCGACTGCACGAAACATTGCATATCTGCACACAAGGCACAGACTCAGAGAGGAGCCCCTTTCTTAGCGTTTGTACTTGGGCCATGTTGTGTCCATGCCACGACGACGAATACTGAACACTTGCAGGTGTGTAGTCGGAAATTGGCATGGTTCGTTGTGAACCCGGAGTGCGTAATAGTGCATGTCTCTGAAGCTTTCGGTTTCAAGCCTGATCCGTTTCGACCACGCCCCAGTTGGCTTGCGACCGGGATGCAATCGAGACTTGTCTCGTGTCCTTTAGAACCAAGATGCAGGCAAGTTGCTTCTGGCGTCCGACGTCTCGGCGGCCTGCCATGTGTGTGTGAGCATGCTCGATGCTTGCGCATCATGACGTCCTGACCTTCCTTAAACCCATACCGTATAACCGGAAACCCTAAATCAACTTGAGAGCCAAACAAGGTTCCCTGGAGTGCGGCCATGGCACGCCGAGCAGGTGCTCCCGCCTTGGCGGTCGCCGCCCTGGCGATGTCCGAGGGCGGTTCCCTTTGCTTCGTGGTGCCGATGTCTGAACAAGCAGCGTTTGTTGCATGCTCGGCTTTGCTCCTTGATCCATGCACCTTTGCTTTGTCGCTCCCCACGCCGAGGCGAGGCAGGGCACATGCTCGTCGGCCGCATCGAGGCATCCCTGCAGCTTTCAGACCAAACCTTGAAACCTGAACCGTCCAGCTTTGAACCCGAGAAACCCTAACGCAAAGCTTTACTTAAAACCCAAAGCCTCCTAAGCCTTGAAGCCGAACCCGACATCGCACAAAGCCTCGGGCTGGCACCGCGCACAGAGGCTTCGGCTGCGAGCGCCTTCGTCGGGGGCCTTGTCTGAGAAGCTTGAGTTCAGGAGTTGGGTTATGGATTTTCGCTGCTTGCGAGTTTTGACATGTGCTGTCCACCCAAGCTGAAGTGTAGAGTGAATCTGATACCTACATGGAACTCACCACAGGGGCAGACTGTCCTGAACCTGATTGAAGTTCTCCTCAGCCCCCGCCATCGAGGCCTTGTTAGCGGCCGACAGGGCCACGCTCTCGCGTGCAGTGTGCGGCCTCTGGTGGCTTGGTGCAAGGGGATCGGATTCCAGGTTGAGAGCTGCAGGTACAGGATACCAAGATGCACCGCTAGTAGATTCGCTGTGGTGAGTGGCCTTTGTTCCATCTAAAAATACGGACACAGACGCACACACACACACACACACACACAGCAACTCATGCATGAGCTTGCGTACATACCTCTGTATATATGTATGTATGTATGTATGTATGTATGTATGTATGTATGTATTTATGTATGTATGTATATGCCTGCATGCATGTATGTGCGTATGTATGTATGTATGTATGCCTGCATGCATGCAAGTATGTTCACTACACGTATGCTTGTACTTGTGATCGATAGACTTAACCGCACACTCACACACAAGACGTAAGTTTCGGTTGCACACACGTGCATGCCAGGTCCCCAGTGCTAGCACAGATGTGGCCACTGTCAAGCAGGCCGGGTGCAGGCAGCAA